GCAATTTTTAAATCGAAAGAAATCCGATATTGCATAAGGTTTGCCCTCCTAGCTTTGTGGTTGTTCAATAAAACTCGCGCCACTCTTAGCCAATCAAGTTTTGATTAAACTAATCGCGACAAATCACTCATATTTTCTCGTAGTAAGGGTTGTTTCAGTGTTTCTACTTCGATTTCTGAATGTTATCTTGTTAAGCGGACCTTTTCTCAAATTGGTCGTTTTTATAGCTGAACTTTTAGCCTATCCATACCTAAACAAAGTCGCTGAAGTCAGACGCTACCGAAATTTTGCCTGCTACGGGTCTAAAGAAAGTTCCCAGCCAATAACATCCCTTGCGATCCGCTCTCACGATTTGTTAGGTTTGTCCCGGTTAGCTCAATGGATAGAGCGCTGGACTGTTGTGCGGGAGGTCGAGGGTTCGAGCCCCGGCCGGACCAACACTCAGGGTCTTAAAATAATTGAGAAGAATTTGCTACCTTTCTATAACATCAAGAAATGGTTAGATATTCTAGTCTTCTCGGATAGGGACGAATAAATGGAGGTCCCGTCTCCTGCAGGGTTGGGGTAGGAGACGTTAATTTCCCACACACGAGATTACTGTGTGATGGATGTCCTCCCCTGGAGTGGGATGGGTGGGATATTGGGCGCACTTAATTTGGAGCCTCACTCTGTTGTGTGACCCTCACCACACTCTGGTGAAAGTGATTAAATAAATATAAATATTTAACAACAACTTGGAAACAGAGGAAATAAAGTTGGACCAAGGACAAATCAAGCAACAGCCACATTCTGAAATTTTTGTTTCCAGATTCAGCCACTCTTACCTCCCCCTGACAAACAAGTATACTTGTTGAAAATAAACATTTCAAAAGAGGATGTTTAGCCTTCAATTAGGGAAGGACGTCTACGATCTTTACTTAAACAGAGACTGCTTTGACTCACATGCTGTAATAGGCACAACTCCGAGCCATGCCAAGGCAACCAGTGTGTAATGAAGCCAATATTTTAGAGCTCTAAGAATGTTTGTTACTAAACCACCAACAAAATCCTTGACAGGAAGTCTGTTGGGCATGTCTGGTGCATAAACTATAAGAAAACAGACACAAACAAACAATAAAGTGTTGTCAACAAAAAATGTGTTCTTGTCGAATCTTTTTGTTTCCTTTATTTGATAATGTATACAAGGATGATTTATTAATTATGACAACAACAACAGAACAAAAACATAAACAACAAAATGCACAATTCTGTACATTTTAAATTGTTCACCAAAACACACATTTTAATATGCTGACGCTTTCAAAGAACATGGAAAATAATGGTCAAAGAGATGAATTAATGAAGTGCTTTATAAAAAGACAGATTCAAATCTTCACTTCAAAGATGAATAAAAAGAGCAAATAAATTAAAGAATAGACGTAGAGGTAGAGTTTAAGCTTCTTGAACAAAGAATTATTTCCCAGGGAGCGATACTACAGTATATATTAGCAAAAATTCCAAATGAAATTTTTATGACACTCACTTGGTTTGAAGGCAAACCGGTGATTGCATAATTCACAATATCTAAAATGAATGGGAGAGAGAAAAAAGTTCACTCTTACAAATAAAAGTATTTATGGATCAATTTGGATACAGCCAACCAGTGATTTCTGCTTTTTCAGCAGGTGGATTTTTCCAGCAGCTGGCTCTTAGCCATAATCACAATTAACAGTTCATTTACAAATAAAGTATTCCAAATTATTGAGCTAAAATAAACATTAATACTCACTCTTTTTTACTGTGTTTAAGCCACTGTACCAAACTGTGAATAAATGAACAACACCAAATAAAAAGAAGTACAATCAGAAGAAGTCATCAGCAGATATATTAGTAAAACTTACAAAGAGGATGATGCAAGAACATGGCTGTGTGGAGATAGGATTTAACGTGGAGCACAGATAAACATTTCACAAGTGAGCCCAGCAAACAAGTAAAATATTTCACAACATGGGAAGAGAAATTTTGTATCCCAATACAACCATGTAATCTTTAATTTGCTATTTAAGCATCAATGAAATATGAAACCACTGCAAAAGGTACCATTCATAACTTAATCTTTTCATGTGAAAAGATAACATGTTGTCTCAAACTGGAGAAAGACATCATGATGTTACAAGAGGGCTCAGCTGGTATTTAAATGGTGTTTTATAATACAGTACCTTAATCAACAATTTTCGTGTAATGTTTGGGGATTGAATGTTAAGCCAACTCAGGATTTTTCACCAGAATAACATGACTTGTTACATCAATAATAATATTTAGTATATACCAAAAGTAAATAGTACTTTTTATAAGTGCCAATCGACTGTTTCGGAGGCAAAAAGCAAGTACTATTCCCCTCCGAGCAACAGAAGAGACAAAATTGTATGTTGAGAGTTCATTTCAGACCATCCTCCAGTATATTTCAAAATATTCACCAAAGTGTTGGTGAAAGTGGTGGATACTTGCCTTGCATCTTCATGTCTCAGTAAATATCCACCACCATTCACCTCTACTTTGGTGAGTAATTGCTAATTATTCATTTCATGATTCAGATTAAAAGACTTTAACCTAAAAGGAGAACCGTTAAGGCTTAGTAATTTTCCATAACAATGGAATTAATTCAGCAATCAAATCTATTCTACTATTATAAAATCTTAGAGGCAGCAATTGTAGAAACACTTCAACCTTGCAGCTCATCAACACTATAAAATTAAAGTACCATGACGATTTTCTCTAATTAATAACTGACTTTGAAAATGTCATTTTACAAAAGAGGTAGGAGAAAACTATTTTATACAAGGAAACTAGAAATTTAAAATTTTGCACTGCACTGACAAAGCAAACTGTTGTAGTACGGTCATAGATAACAGGACGAAAGTTTCCCCTTTCTTTTTATTGCTATTAACGTAATCTGACATCTTTCCGTCTAGACGACTTTAGAAACAGAACAGAATTTAAAAAAAACCGCACATGGACACTGTAATCTTCCTGGATGTGAATTCAACATCTCACTTTCGTCCATTCTGTACTTCCTTTTGATCAAACGAAAATTGCTTTACAAGTAAATTTCTGGCCTTGTGAAAACAATCGACGATGCTTAGCACTAATACAGGAGATGTTGAGGCAGATCACGAGATATGCTTCGCCGGTTTATCTACAATCACACTATAGTACTCTGGTAAAAAGAAGCTAGACCAAAAAACTCAAAATACCTACCATTCTTGATGTATAAATTTAATACTTCCCGTGCATATACATGGATGGTACAGAGGCTTATCATGTGTCCCTTCAGCGCGACATACTCTGCAGATATCGACTAGAATAAAACAAAAACACTGAGAAACGTAGGAACGTACTGACAGACCGTACGTGAATGTTAATACCTGAAATTAAACCTTTCATTTTCCGCATCAAAAGGAAAAATTCGCGGTGATATTTGAAAACTTCCAGGTCATTATCACAAAAATATTGAAGGAAAATTGCACTAATTTAAAGAAAATACCACAGGAGAGCAAATAAGGAAGAACTTCTATCAACCTTCATGTGCATCGTCGTCCATCTTGTTTCGTTTGGTCAAAGACTATTCTTGGTTGTGAGGCAATACAAAGTTCCCCCGCCCCAGTCTACTCAGTTTCGGTTTTGGATAGAGGAACGATGAGATGGATGCTATCTTCCACGAGAAGGTAAATGTTTTCCTGCGAATCTTACCTTTTTTCCAGCCTTCAAGGTCTTAAATACATAAAAAATGATTTTATTAACGATACATTTGTTTTACTTTGCAGCAAGAAGGCTCTCTTTGCGCTCAACATTGCCTCAATGCCTTATTACAAGGTACTGTATCCTTTTTGCACGTATAGAACAGTGCGTCAAATGTTAGAAGTACAATTTGTAATTGAGTTGTAAAGAAGATCCTTGGACTTTTATGTTGAGTATTACTTTTATTTAAATCCAAACAGAACTAGTCTCAAGGAGGCTGAAATTTATTAGAAAGACATTGCACTTTTGTCGGAATACCTTGGGAAAAATTTTTGACAGCTCGAGATTATTGTTATTTTGATCCAGATAAAAGCACCGGTTAGATCAAGCTAGTTTAGGAGTCTTTTGGTCGCACAACGTTCTTCCAACTCTGTAAAACGCCTAGAGGTGTGTTTTTTGAGGAAGTGATCTTTCCAGACGGCTGTTTGAAGTTGATCACTGCTTTTTGATAGTGATCAAACCACTTTCCTTCACATAAACTCTTAAGATCTTACAAATGATTCTCTTTACTGTCTGCCATGCAATTCTTATGATGCTACTTAATATTGCATATTGTATTGATATTGTAAAGAGAAATTTTATCTTGGTCTCCTATGGTGGTGAAAAGGGTTAGTGAGAAGTTCTTTTGTTGGTTGAAGGCATGGAAAGCAGGATCTACTATTGCGATAATGGGCCAGGAGGCTTGTGATACTAAACCAATCTAACTTTTTTGCAGGCCCTTACTTTAACCCAGTAGTTCTGGCAGATATAGCAACACAATTGGATGAACTTGAAAGAGCAAGAATGGCAGAAGGAGATGTTACATCACAGGATTATCAAGAATTTATTAAGGTAACTGTTCTCATTTTCTGGAGGGAGCCCAAAACCATAAAACCGCTGATAAGAAATCCAGAAAAACAAACTAAACAAAGTGCAAGGGGTAAAAGAATATCTGCATCATAGCATCCAATCATGTAAGCATAAATTTTAAAATCCCAGACAATCAAACCAATTACTTTGTTGTAAGCAATGATAGAACATTATATTTAACAATTATTCATTGAACAGAGGTGGATTTTAGGATACATCTACTGAGCCACAAAACTTAGTTCTTATTAACCGAGCGGGAGGTCTGTATGGGAGAATCTTGACCAAGGTCGCCAGTACAGACCGAATGCAGTGAGGTCTGTACCAGCGACCGAGGTGCATCCATAACTCAATAGTGTACACTGGGGCGTTAACCAAGTGTTTTATAACATAACATTGATACATTGTAGCAAAAGAGGTGCCTTTTAATTAACAAATCTTACATGACCAGAAAAAACAAGCGCACGGGAAAAAATAGTCTTTGGATTTGCTCATGTCAGCAGTGTACAACCATGGGCAAATGGGGGATGCTAAATTGACCAATCTGTACACTGTGGTGTTTACCATTTGTTTTATAACATAAAATTGATACATTGTAGCAAAAGAGTTCCCTTTTATTTAACAAATCTTGTATGACCAGTAAAAACAAGCGCACGCACCTTTGAACCCTTGGAACCCTTTGGAAAATTTGGACTTGGGATTAACTTCTAATACTCTAATCAATAATTTTGTTTATTCTTGTCACTTGTCACCTTATTTTGTATTGATATTGAACATAGAAATTCTGTCCTGGTCACACATGGGGGTTAAAGGTTTCATGATCCATGACTGACTTTGCATTGCTATTTATTTCTTGCATTTTTACCCCAATGCTGTATCTGGTAAAAATATCTTTAGTATATTTATATTAAAAATATCTTTAGTATATTTATCACGAGTAATAGTACTTTACTAGTTACTAGAAACCATGTTACCACATTGATGTATTCTTTTTTAGGAAGTATATAATATTAAGTAATTTATATTCTTGTTAAATATATAGTATCTGTATATTTTTAGTTAACTGTAGATGTAGAATTTTATATATTCGAATGTATTTAGTACGAGTTGCTGGCTCATTGTGCATCTCAAATCGAAGTTGTATTGTCCACTGGCTGAGGAACAAAATAAGTGGAAAATGTTTTTTCACACACCTCTGGGGCCTGGGCCCGAGGGTTTGTTTTTGAGTCACATGCTCAGTGTATTTTATCAGTTGCTGTTTTGCTATCCGCCATTGCTGACAAGTATTTTTGAGCCCCAGTTCCCACCCAAACCTTTGTTTGAGTTTGATAACATACACTCTGTTGGGTTAGATATTCTTTATTAAGACTGTCAGCATAGAGTCTTACTAAGCTTGTAACTGTTTTCTAATATTACTGTATGTTGCCTACATTACGTATAATGCTAGGCTGTATTGGTTTGAGAAATAAAAGAGTCAGTTGGCGGCGATCAGCTGGACTAAGGCTGCCAGGGGTGAGTGAGAAATAAATTTACCTACCTACCTACCTACCTACCTACTGGCTGGGAATTCTGTGCTGGTGATCCTTATGTTCCTGTTCTTTTTTACAGCAACCTTCTTCAAATATGGATGACAGTGGATTCTTCTCCATTCAGGTTATATGCAGTGCCCTCAGTGTGTGGGGGTTAGAGCTCATACCATATTTGAGTCTAGAGGCCAGAGAGGCACGAGAAAATCCACAGTAAGCCTTGGTATACTAGAAATGAATTTATAACATATATTTTATTATTACTGAATTTCTTCAAAGCCATCACATGAATAATCTATTATTAAGTGACATAAAATTAGAAAGAGAAATATAATCAGCAAATGAAGCGTCTAGAATTGTCTCTTTCCTTTTAATTATGTTGTTCCTTGGTCCTTTATTGTATTATTATTATAATTACAGAGAAATCAACTGAATGCTACAGTCTAATCAAGCAGCACAGGGCAAAAACTGTAACCTGTGAGCCATGGAGTAAAAAATAAATGTACATTAACTAATCCTAAAAAGCTTTTCCATTGTGTCTATGGTCCTCCTTCTAACAGGAACTCAAACTGCTACCAGTTTTTTTTTTTTTTGCTTTTTTTTTTTTGATCTAGTCAAGCACGCGCTATTTACATTTTTCACATATTTAATATTCAAATTGTAATGTAAGCCCTGACATGTAATTTGTAACGTACCTTAATATAAATTCAAATGTACAACCGTTAAAAGCTCATTTGCAACTGAAGATGACATGAGAATGTCGAAACATGTCTTGTAAATTTATAATCAAAGTTGTCTTTTCTTTTTTGAAAGAGAAATATGGTCTAATTTGCTTGTTTCTTCAAAACTAGGAATCAGAAAGCTTTTATATGTAACTTACAACAACATTGGCTGACTATACGAAAATTTGGCCATCAGGTACTGGAAAATATTAATTTAATTTTGTATAAAATGTAAAACCCTGATCTAAATGGCATTTTCTGTCAAGCAGGACTTCATTAAGAGCTTGATTGAGCTCATTGCACTGATACCATAAGGCAAATGGATAAAGTGCTGTGTTGGTGGGGTACAACAAGATAATTTGGTTTCATCGGTTGTGTTTGATAATGTAAATTAGCTGCAGTTAAGATTTTCTAAAGCTGATATTTTGACCGTTAACCCCTGATAATAGGCTTCCTCTCAATACTTCGGCTTTAAAAACTCTCTAATGTGGCCAATTTATATTATATATTAATGAGATAAGACGAAGTTGGTATAGTGGTAAAATATTGCAGGCTGGCTCTTCTGCTTCTTCTTTGGCTGCCACAGAAGAAAAAAAGAAATGAAGAAAAGTATGAACTAAGGTAATGAATATAAAAAAGCTAGGCTAGCATTATGAGTCAGGAGTAATCAACTGGAAGAGAACTGAAAACTGAGAGAACCACATCAAGGTAAAGTTTCCATTTTTTTTTTCTTTGCAGTGGTTTAATCTGAACTCTTTGTTGTCCAAACCAGAGCTGATAACTGAGACATATTTGTCACTATTTCTTACCCAATTACAGACAGAAGGTACTTGCAAGTAGAATTTTAAATCTTATTTTGACAGTGACAATCTTACTTTTGACAGTTAAGATTTTCTAAAGCTGATATTTTGACTTGGTACTTAGAAGGGAGAGTTAGTAATTGGATCTTTGGAGTTAAGGTAGTTTAAGGGTGCAAGTGATTTGGTGCAATACAATTTCTACTACCTTTAGTTTGAGTAATGTTCCCCAAATTCTCATCAAATGCTTGTAAAGAGAAGTTTTACATTGATCACCTCTTGGAGTGAAAGGGTCACTGGAGTCTTATTCAAGACCTTTTCCACTGCTTGTTATGTTGATAGACTGAGAATTTTGTAGTGATAAAGTAGCTTGGAGTCCTTGACTCTCAGTTTAGTATCTATAGACTTTTAAAAGAGTTGAAAACAATGATGTGGACATAAAAAATCATTCTAGTCACATAGATATAACTACCCAAAATTTCTTACCTCACAGGTTATTCAATATTTGTTGTGAAAGGGAACTTACCAGAGAGTGAAGCTGATCAACTACTGAAGCTTTGTCCAGCTGAGCCAGAGAAAAAACCTTCTAAAACAACTTCACACAAATTAGTGAACAAAACAGATCTAACAGCTGCGCTTCAACAAGCCAGTGGTGGTGTAGGAGGTGAAGGTAGGTTTATGCTTGAAACTTTAAACTTGTTGTTACCTTTAGCTGCTTAAGGGTTTAACATTCTTGTTATCTCAAACTTGTGCTGTAGGTGATGTTACTTTCTATGTGGGCTTGCTTTGGCTTAACCTCATTCTGTTTTTTATTCTCCTCGATAAAAACTTTCATATGACACAAATACCCTGTTTCATGTCTTAAGTAGGTTCTTGTTTCTCTCTAACTGAAAAATACTTTTATTTAGTTCTAGAAAAGATGAGAAGTGTATTTTATACTGCAGAAATGTTATTAGCTGGTCATTTAGATGTTGTCTCATCATCAGATAAACCAGTTGACATCGACGAAGTTCGAAAAAAACGAGAGTTGTATTTTCAAAGGTAAGTTAGCTTTAAAATAATTTGTGACTGCTTTAGTTTTGAGTCACTTTTGTCCTTGGAAACTCCTGTTGATCCTTGTTAAAAGGAGGTGCTGAGGAAATGGCAAAAAATGTTTTTAAGAAGGAGCCCATTATGTCAGGGTTCTATATTCCATATACAATCATGATTATTTTATCATGATGCATTTGAAGAAGGAAACCTGGAGTATTAGCTTGCCATGTTTAAGCATGCAACCAGCAACAATGCCCTTAAAGTAATCAAGACTTTCAGCTACACTAAAGAATGAAATTTAAATTATAATATGCTTATAATATGATAATTTGTTGACATCTTTTGTATGTGCACGCTGCTATTCTGGGACTATCAATTGTGATGTAATGTAAGTGTGATTTACAGTGGGACTAAGAATCTAGTTGTTCGCATTAACCCTTGAGTGGTAAAGTTTGTTATTGCATATTTCCTTTTCACATAATACAGTATTACAAGTTACTGGGTACACTTGGCATTTATCAATAAGTCTTAATGAATCCTGTCTGAATTCTTAATGTGCTAATGAGAGGTTTTTTGGATTGGAACTCTACTTGAGTTTGACCTGATTTGTTTTTCAGACAAAACCACACCCAAGCAAACAATCCAAACACAGGACAAACCTCAGAGACAGCAGATACATCTCAACAAATCATAACAGGACCAGTCCCACCTGCTGATCGAGCACAATCCCCAGGTACAGAATGAGTTGGCTTCTCCATGAAAAATGAAATATTTGGTTTGCCGGGTTCATAAGGTGGGATCAACAGGATGAGAGATGAAAATGCAGTTAGACTGTTCCCAATGTGAGCTTTTTCCTTCCACCTCTGCTAAAGCTTGGGGAAATTTCTAGACATACAAAACCGTTGGTTACCAGCAGCTAATTTCTGCTTTCAATAATACAGTTCAATCATCGATTAAGATCACAAGAGTAAAGGAAATGATCACCAACCTAATTCTCCTTGTCAGTTCCAAAGGAAATGTATAGAGATGAGAATGGAGAATATGAATACTCTTGTTAAGTTGTCTGGAAGTGTGAAAAAAGAAGACTGAAGATTTTTTGCTGGAAGACCCCCTCTC